GAGCACATTGTGTGTGTTGTGTGCAGGGGAAACTTTTGAGAAACGAAGGGAAACTGGTAAATTCTATTGGGGTATCCATAGCAATAACGTCCGGTGCGAAAGGATCAAGGTTCAAGGCGAAATCCTGATGAACAAACATCTGTGTAAAAAGTAGCTCGGATTATTTAATCGTAGATACGGCTTTTTCTTCAACCGACTGTATGATATTTAAATTATTAATTATACCTAAGTCTAGACAAGATTGAGCTAACGGCCTGTTCAACTCAATCACTAACCGACTTAGATTTAGCGCATCAAGAATTTATAACAATTCAACTCCCTTAACAGTAGAATTTGGTGTATCTGAAGTTGAATTTGCTCTGCATTGCTTATTATGCGCATTAGAATCTCCCAAAATTAGAATACCATCAAATTTTAGCAAACGAGTTATTCTGGTAATGATGTCTTGAAAAAACTCGAGAAGTTTTTGAAGATTTCCATGTCTGATCTGGTCAGTAGAAAACGCTCACAAGAATTTGCCCAATTTGGAATGAGTAATGAGAAAAACATCATCTCAGTGTCGGAAACTTCAAAGTTGTCAAACCGCTTGATAGAAATATTGTTTCTAACATACAAAAGACAACCTCCGCCACTGCAATCAACTCGATCTCGTCTAAAATCATCAGATCGCCGAGCACGAAGACGTCGCTAGTTTATCCGCATGTGGCGAATTAGACAACGTAGCAGCTGTTAATTCAAAACAGATTATTTTTTCTCTCAAGAAAACTCAGCATTAAAAGTCAAACAGGTACTGGAGCAGAGTGGATGAAAATAGCGTTCTATGCAGTTTAATGGATTGTCATTGGTGATTGCATCGTGAAATTACGACGACATCCATATTTTATCTAAAGTAAGATAAATATTAGATGGAAAAAAGAGAGAAAAAAAAGAAGAGAAACCATTTTGTTTACTTCGAAAAATAAATCGATTTCTTTAAACAAAACGTCATATGCTGAAAGTTTTTGGTTTATGATAAAAACCGATATATTTTTATTTTTATTTTTCATAGGGCGATAAAAGTCGTGTTGAAATATTTAATTTCTATGCAAAAATGGAAACGGAACAATTGTGATCATATTTTTTTAATACGTTGACAAATCGTGATCAATTCGTTGTGCATCAGGTTTGTGTGTTATGTGTATACTCTTGTCTGTTTCTTATTTTATTTTCATTTGACTTTAATTTTTAGACAAGTCGTATCACTGCCAAATTAGCGTGTTGGAGTCATGAACGTATGCTCGTACCGGTTCTTGGATATTATTTGGCATGGTTAAAAGAACAATTAAAACCACAGGTTGTTAAATTGTGAAAAATCTGGAAATTATCTGAATAGATGACCGTTTGTTTGTTTGTATTTTAGAGTAATGATTATTTTGTAAAGTGTTTGTCGTAGTTTACAAATGATGTTACGTATCGAACAATATCGAGAATCGTTTGTTCAATTGACGGAATAACAAAGTAAAACATCGTTTAACGACTGTTTAGATTTATTTTTGTCCTATCGCTTTCCTTCATATTCTTCTAGTATTATGCATGTATTGATAATGCATCTATTAGATTTCAAGTGCAATATCAATTGATATTTTGTTTTTGGGTACTTGCAATTGCTTCAAATATTGTGTCATTTATGGCAAAGTTAGTTTTTCTCATGAGCAAAATTAAAATGAAATATGACATTTGTTGTGACTTGTTAATTTAGATACCATGTGATACCGCGTTTAACAGAAATATTAACCGAAACAGAAAAACAAGAAAATGGCATGTGATTGTTGCATTTCTTCGTGTAAGTTTCCAAATCTCAATAATAGTTTAGTCTAAAATTTATCTATTACCAATAGAATCTATTCTATCGAGGAAACATCAGATCATGTTATTTACAATGTACCACACAACTCGTGTTTCCACTTTAAACTGCTGTCTGCTTTGCTGCGCCTTTGAACTGTATTTGTTTTTTGTAACCAACATAATCGCCTTTTTGAAAATATTTCACGGCTTCTCAACCTGGAAGCTACTGTCTGTAGAAGTTTTTTTGAGTAATATAAAATTCAGCTTTTGTTTGTTTATTCCTAAAGTAGCCGTATAAAATAGTTATCTAAGCTCTTGAAAACTAATACGTTCAGTTGTTAGTATAAAAGATATTTCTGTTTTTTGGCTTTTTAGATTGAAAAACACAGATAGAACCCCACACACTCAGTTACATGAATTAATTTAAATCTTCATTTTACGCATAACGATGTATATCAGACTTCCAAGTAAGTGAGTTTTTATTTATTCAATCTCAGAACTAACTCATCGGGAATATTTCTCGTAATATGTATTTGTAAATATTCAGAAACGCTGTACAAAATAAACAGAACATAAAAAAAGTGAGCGAAATGAAAAAATATTTTTTTTGCGTCCGCAAATATTGGAATGCATTTCAGAAACCTCAGATAAAAAAAACACTGTCTAGAGAGAAAAGTTTGAACAAACTGGAATAATAGGCATGCATGTGTAATAAATAAATACCAACGAATAGAGTAGTCAGTTGTTCTGTCGCTGTCTCATTCTTGTTCCTACTGAGCAGTTGCCTTGATTGTAAAACTACATAATGGACATAAGAGACGAGTTTGAAGGAAGAAAGTAAGAGAAGTGAGGGCTTTATCATGTTTCAATGCGATTAGTATGCTCAAGAGCACCCTTCATTTGCGTAGTTGATTTTTTTTCAAAATTGACTATGTCATGTTCCGATGTACGAATAACTACTCGTTTCAGAATCAAAAAGATACAGATTCTTGGTATGCTTTTATTACAAGGTCTCAGAAAAACTTGGTATAGTTTTGGTTTATGACTTTTTCTGACCATCACCTGGTAAACAATATTTGTGAGTGAATTGATCAAATACAGGAAAGTTTTCTCGCAAGCAAAGTGTCTGAGAGAATGGTAACAAGGTGATAAATGATAGTTTAATTTGAAAAAGAAATTTTCTGAGTAGAAAAGAGGAGAAAGAGACAGAATGAAATAGTAAAGGGTGAAACGACAATAGTCGTTTTTAGTTTTATGAGTGTAGAATATGAGGCGAAGAAAGTTAGTGAAGAAGGTAATAAACAGTTTCCAGAAGAAACCAGTAGAGGTTACGTTGTAATTATTCCTTTAAGATGTGTTTCGTTCAGAGAAAGTTTTGAATATTAGTTTCAGTCTTCTTACGTTTTGCTTTGACTTGTTACCGTCTCGTACATTTGGCTTCATCACATGAGCAATATTTTGGTACACATTTGAGATTGTTTTTTTCGCATGAACAGGCTTGGCAGTTACCCGTTTTACATCCGCATGCTATTATTTGTGAGGCATCGGGAGCTATCGGCTTTGTTATCCATATAATATTTAAAGTGCCGTTGATCATTTTGTAACCATTATTTTTGCATATATCAGGCTGTGTATTTTGACACCACATATTCACAGCAACAGAAGCTCGCTTAAAATGCTGATGAGCAGCATCGCTGGTTGGTGGCAGAGCTTTGAGTGCTGTGATATCTTCATATTTTCTCGGCGCTTTCCTTATCATGAAATGACGCTCTTCGTCCAGTGTTCGACAACCAGATTTCAACGCCTGAAGAAAAAGGTTTTCGCACGCATTACCGATTTCATTTGTGAATGGTAGTTGACCCAAATGTTCAATGTACTTATATTGTGACATATTTCGAAAATAGGTATTGATTACGGTAGCTTTCGTGATGTTTCGGATTGCTGATGTATATTGACTACCCGTTAGGGCATGTAAAACAATTAATGGGAACAATGAATCTATTTTGTATTTGTTTCGCATTGCTTCATTTAACTTTGTACAGTTGCCGTATTTCTTTATTATGTCACCTCGATACATATAACTGCAGTCGACAATAATCGTGTGTGGTACGGTCGAGGCGTATGCTATAGCCAGACTTAACAAATCATTCTTTTTCGATTTAATAGCAACCAAAACGCTCTCGAATTTTTGGATTGTCGTCGTTGCATGTTCAACAACTCTGGCATTAATGTCAAACTGTTCAGTCGTTATTGCATTTTGGATAAAAACACTACCTTGCTCGTTTGTCATGAGCAGTAGACGCTTGTCTGGACATGATACGATCGTTAATTTACTGATGGGAATTGTGAATGCTGATGACATCCAAATATCACAGACACATTGACCAACAGAGCTGAGATTTTTTCTCACAATTACCTCTCACTCTGCAGGACGAGGCATAATAAAATTTGGTTTCAGTTGAGTGACCAACAGTTTATGCTCTTCATTTTCTGCTTTGACCATCAAACCGTGAAGGGAGAAGTCATCGTTGCACGAAAAAATAACATCGATTCGATTGTGACATTTGAATAGTGGTAATATTTTTTCCATAAACATGTTGGTGGCATATTCAGCGTACGTATCACATCGCCGTTGCTGAACTAGAAACGAGTCACATTTTCTTTGTAGATTCAAAGTACGTGTGGAATATTTAGTGGCTGATAAGAGATCACGGGAAACTGAGAAGGAACTAAAAGTGGAGTTTCTCGTCTCTGCTGGTGTCCTATTTTCACACGTTTCAGAAAGTTTGTACAGCTATAAGTATCTGTCTCTGTGTCTGTGTCTTTTTCGCTTTCTATAAACTGAGTTAAATAGAGAACAAGGTTACCTAGTAGCACATCTCCATCGAGAATAATGACTGATGGCATCTGTTGCAGATTGTTTGACACTGTGCTCGGAAAATTGTCTGATATGAAAGGAAGAAGGCTACTTCTCTGTTGAAATGTTGGTTCCGTCGGATTTAACATAGAAGAAGGTGGTATGATGAATTCGTGACTACTTATGTTTCTAATTTGATAGTTGGACGAAATAACGAGCAATACATTAACGCTCTGAATTGTTTTTGCATGTTGCTTGCGTTTGTTAGTGGTTTTTCGGGAGCAAGCGTCATCGTCAATAGTCGAACATTTCCTTTATTGATGGTGGTGAATATTGACGTTCTTTTCTCAATTAAGTGTTCTTTGATGAAGTTGTTCGCTGTCGTGACAAATTTTGCTGAGGCACCACACAATTCTTCGACAATCTCAAACGGCAATTTGGCTCCACTCAGCAATTTATGAAAATCTGTACTTGTCGATCGAAATGGGTTGTCAGTTTTCAATAGATTGATCAATTTGAGTAAATCGTTATTGTCAGTTATTATTTTAGAGACAGTGGCTTGAACATGTGGATCATTTGTATGTTTCACGTTGGCTAACTCGTTGACCACAGTCAAAACTTGCGCGCACCAAGAGGAAGAGAGACACCATGCCAAACGAAGATCGGCATCCATGTGCCCACTGAGACCAGCCGGACCTTTAAAGTCCTTGTTCTGAGTGGACTCAATTGCATAGTCACACGCGACACTTGAAAAATGTCGGCCTTTCATCGTCACGGTCCAACTTTCCGCCAAGTTCGCTGCCAAATAATCATCCATTTGTGATATTTCATAAATGTGATGGCAGCCCATTCGAGCATAGTTAACATGATTGAAGGCAAAACAGAAAGGGACGAAATATCGCCATTGCTCGTTCCGAATCTTAAAATTATTCGTCCGTGTCGCCATGTAAAGTGTGAATAAGGGCTGTAATAGAGAATTGACGACATAATCATAGTATCGAAACATTATAAACTGCTGTGATTTTCGTTTCCTCCAACTGTCGAAATCGTTCTTCACATTCAGAAGCTGTAGGATATCACAAGCATCTGTGAAGGCGTTGTATAAACTCTGCTTCTCATTCTCACTTTTAATACTAGCATTGATGTTCGGTAATGTTTTTATCATCTGCTCCAAGATTAATTTCAATTCAGTATCATTTTGTGGATTTTCCTCGATAAATAGCTCGATTTGAAGTACAAGCAAGGCGGTGAACATCAATGTGTAAGCTCGGAATGTACGATCAAAATCATAAACTCCCAGAATCCCGTTAACAACTGTTGAATCGTACAGAACTTGAAAAGCATACTCCAAACCTCAAATAAGAAAAATTATTTAATGGTTTATAATACAACGTACTTTTTTTTATGATAGACAGAAAAGTCTGAAAAAATACGGTTTCTGTGCATTACTGGTATATTTCAATTTTCTATTTAGGTCAAAATGAACTCTATTCGCACTGGTATTAGCAATATTCATCTGAAATTAGGCAACAAAGTTTGTTATAGGTAAGCGGCAATATCTTTTTTGGCTGAATAACAAAAGATAGCTATTGGAGACGTTTTAGGGAAATTTATCGTCAGTGCTTTAATACCCAGGGAACAATGAATTTAGTACTTTCCCCGAGATAACATACCGGAGCCACTTATGAATTTTCCAACTATTCCAAAAATGTTTTTCATAAAATGCCAGTCTCCCGGCAGTAGAAAAACATCCGTATACTGTGGCTGAGAGTTGTTGACGACGTCTTTTTCTTTTTCCTTCAACAATGCAGCGTATATTGCCTCATCGACTACTAAAACGGCTTTCTGTTGATATTTGCTGATGACAAACTCCGTCTTTGTTCCGCTTAAAATGGTAGCTGCTGCATGCGAGGCTGTCGCTGGCATATCGATTGGATTTCCATACATAAAGATAGACGGAGAACGACTTTTTACTGGGAAATACGAATACATGTAGCCGGATAACAGTGGATATTTTGATGGTTGGTTATTAAATTTAGCAGTGTGGCTCAATGCGTAAATGAATAAATTGTTATCGAATAATGTCGACATCGAGTTATCTAACGGTCTAAAGCTAGAGTTACCAATAGTGATTGTGGATTGTGTTATTGGTCGAAAATTTGTGTTTGTTATTCGGATAGACATAATTGAGTAGTCGCTTTTGTTGTGATCCTTTCGAATGAAACGTTTTCCTTGCCATCTTCAGAGCTATTATCTTGAGAAGAAAAAATGTTATTCGCTTTCTAACGGCTTTTCACTTCTACTCCCTTCCACAGAAGGACAAAAATCCAGCTCATTCATCTTACTGTTCTCTATGTCAGGCACTTCGTCTGTGCCAAGAATAGACAAGAATGAGGCAGTTGATTGAGCTCTTCCCGGTACACTGTAAAAAATAAAATGTTACAAAAAGTGTTTTTTATGAAAACTGTTTTGCTATAAAGCGAGTGGATAAACATAGCCCTTTCAAGTATAGAGAAAATAAATCACTTTTGATCTGCTGTAAAGTAGAGCACTTCGTGAAAAAACGCACTTTCAAAGTGATTGCAAAGAGAGCATTTTTAAAAATGTATAGTAGAAAGACGTTTTTGAAGTGACCCAAGAAAAAACAGTGTGACATGAAGCATTTTTTTTGAAAAGACACTTTTTACAATCACGTTGACAAATCATTCACTTCTTTTGTTTTGCTATTACTATTAGTATATATGTAACGCTGATTTTCTTCGAATAACTTAGAAATTTTTCTTTTCAACGACTATACAACTCATCGAAGCTTGTCTCCGAAGAAGTAGCCTTAGCCTATGGATTAATGCTAGTGATAGCATCAGACTTTTGAGACTGGTACTAAGAGTAGTTCCATAGTTCAAAGGAACCAAAAATTAACAAAATTAGAAAATCATACTTATGAGTTCAAAATTAAATATAATGAAATCTGAGAAATGCCGTTCGAAAAAATAGCCTAGAGAAGAGCACTTTCAAAAGCGATCTCTTGTGGCACTGATCCTATTTGTAGTGGTCTTTATTTGGTTTACTTTTCAAGCGACCACTGGAGAGTGCTTTGCACGTGGTTTTCTTTAAAGCACTTTCTAAAGTGTTCTCCAATCAAACATTTAAAAAGCACAGCAAAACAAGACCGCTACAAATATGATCAGCGTCACCACAGAGCGCTTTCGTCTTTACAGTGTACACATCTGTTTAATTTTTTGCGACGAAGAGCTCGTATTGCATACTGCTTATTCGCTCAAACAAGTTCTGTAGTGAAGTGTTACCTTTTGATATAGATTTGTCAGGTGAAGTTAATACTAAAGTGCTGCTATTTCTCGATTTGAATTTCCGTAAACGTCCGATAAGATTTTTAAGTACATTCGACTGTGATTGTCGTAGAGTAACAGCTATAGAGCAAAGAATGATACGTTTAAATAAGAGCTGTTGATTGATGAATTAGAAACACTAGATGATGATGCGACTTTGTTTTTCGCTTTGAGGGAAAAATATACCTGTGTCCATTGATGGTGGATTAGGATGAATGAATAATTGATTTATAATATGAATACTTCGTTTTCCATCAACTGAGTTAATTAGTAAATCGCAATTGTCAACGACTTTGATTAGAAACGATCCTTTGAGCACACGCGTCGGTAATCCATTCGACGTATACTCTTTTTCCGACACAGTCGTTAATAATCGTTGAATCGAGTCATATGAAGAAACTATCCCAAATTTGTTACACAGGTCTATGGTTCTACGACTACCAGTGATTTTGTACAGTGCAATGCTGAAAAATCAAAAGTCTGTTTTAGAGAAGACGGCTTCGCCTATAGTGATGCTCGATAAAAATTATCTGTAGCGAAGTATCCTCCTTCTCCTTCGACAGTCGGCAAAAAATATTTCATCATAAACGGATACCCTAGTAACAACTGTTTTGGATTGAAATTTGTTCGTTCTTTACAAGTAATCATATCGAAACAAATTGATAGTTGTTTCAATTGTTTATTTTGGTCGCACTCAATAGCATCAAGAGCCAAGTTTGTTGTGATATTTTGGGTAAGAAACTGGTTAAAATCATTTTTGTTCATTGTACATAGTTTAATAATGTTCATTAAGACGACAGGAATATATTTCACGTAATCATCAAAATTCATTGAACTTAGAACTGTTATTTTGCTGCCGATTTCTGTGTTGCTATTTGTGAGTTCAATCTCACGGCGAATTATTCGTGATGTTGTAATCAAGTTTTCATTTTCTATATTATTGGGCATCTGCTGACGTTGAGACGCCAGCATCATTGCCGGAAATGTGACGATATTAATCACTCCACTATCATCCAACAAATTTTGCAGCATCAAGTGCAAATAAACTGAAAAGTCGTTCAATACGATATAACTTCCGGAACGTTTACTTGAGCAAATAATGCGGTAACCATCAAAGGTTTTCATTCGCTCAACAAACGTCCGGTAGTGGGTGACTGTATCTCCTAATTCTCGTAATTTCTCATAGGCATATGAAACTTTGACAATATTGCCGTCAACTAAAGTGGTCCATAACCATTGAATCAGTTGATCAAACGCGGTCTGTGTACAGATATGGTGTGCATTTTGATTCTCTGTCGTTTTTGAAAAACCAAGATTCTGGCGGTGACCAGCATCCAGTTCATCTTCATCTCGAAATAAATACGGATCGTACGGCGCATTTGGTTCAATGGTTTGTGATTGTGCAGTGTCTATATCATGCCAAACAGTTTCGGTAGAAGAGTCTGCTGTTGATTGTTGATCATCATCAGTTGAGGTCCGCCGTATGATATCGTGTAAAAGATCCAATGAAGACGTGACGCATGTTTGAACTATGTGAAGAAAATCTTCTTTGATATTCGAGTGAGATACGTTGGAACATATCTCTATCAAATTTTCACATAAGTTGAACACTGTTAAGTCTGAAAGAAAAACACCTTATACCAGGTCTAAAGAGTAAAAAGAACTTAGTCTAAAGAAAAACTCCGACTAGGTCTTTGTAAAA